TTATGCGAATTACGCGATCGATGGTCTCGAGGAGATTAGACTTATTTATGAAAGTTCCAACTTTTCGTATTTTATTAGCAGACTATTTGTAGATATTAACCGGTTGACCGATATATATATATGGTATTTAATCGTATTGCAAATCATCAAGTATCTATCTTTATCCTTGGTTTCTCTGATGTAAAATAACCACGACAATGTCTTTATTTTAACAAGATCGGCGTTTAACGATCGTTTTTCAACGATTCTTCGTAAAGTCATAAAGTTTTCGACATCGCAGAAGTACATATATCTGGCTCTAGTATACTTGCTTTTGGATTTACATTAGATGGTGATCTCTTGCATTTAAATCGATCCATTATTCTGTGTATTTTTACGAAAGCAAACTTTTTCTCCGCTAATGATATTCTTAAAGTCGTACTATTTTATTACGTAACTAAATGTATCTACGTAAGATTAAATTTGCTTCGATTCGCGTATCTCCGTAACATTTTATCAAACTTATAAAAAGACATTCGGCGTTCAAAGCCGGAAATGTACCGAACCGATGAGAAAAAAAAGCGAAACAATGAAACTTGACCGCGTACAAAGTTATAGTATCGACTGTAGCTATATATTAGGTTGTTCGAAAAGTTTCTTTCGTTTCATAAGGTAATAACGGACGAACAACAATTTCTGTTTTATACTATTTTATCGAATTAGGTATGATCTATTTCGTTCTATTTCCATTATTGTGTTCGTGCATAGTTCAATAAACTAATATAAAAGAAAAAACATTGTGCGGCTTATAAAACGAAAGAAACTTTTCGGACAACCCAATAATATGAAGTAGAATGTAACGAAGGATCGCGTCGATAAATAGAGTTCTTAAGCGTGAAAAAAGGTAGAAAGGATAGAAGAGAAATGCAACGCGTCTCGATTCCACGATCGACTGTCGCTCAGTGTTGGTTAATTTGAACGGCTTCGTCCTCTTGCGTTTTGCCATCGGACAGAGTAACGATGGCCGGTTAAATTCGACGAAGTAACGGGCTTCTTGAAAGAGCATCGCTCCGGATACGGTGTACAGCCTACCGACTGCGTGTTTACGTTACGAAACGTGTTCTCGCATTGCCGCGTAACCGTAAGAGCGTGACGAAAACCGAGCTACGTGGGTGACGGTCTGTCGTCCTCTTCTAAGCAACCTCCACCAACGACAACTCTGCCTTTCACGTAAAGTCGATACCGTGCAATCGTGTCGTTCGAGCCACGTTCGATCGCAAATCGAAAAGATTAGTTTTTAAATATTTTTTACCTCTTCGAAACGAAGCGTACAAAGATATATTAGTTTGAAATTAGACCGATATAGTTTGCTTAACGTTAACGTTCTAACTTTATTCCATAAAAATGGAACGTTAAATATGTAAATCGAACTTAATCCCTCGCCAAAATGAAAATCCAATTACGTCCATATCGTACAATTTGAAAAGCAGGTCACACGCGTAAAGTTCCTTGCCAAAACAAACATGCGAAGGCTCCATAGCGAACCCGATTATTCATCGACATTGTAAATTTCATGAAACAAAAAAAAAAGAGAATCGAAGAAAGAACGAGGTCGTATAACGTGTTTCGTGTCGTTTGAAAAAAAAAGAAGTGGGTGAATCGCATAAAAATACTCGGTGAAGTAGCAACCTCCTTGGCTCTAAACGTGCTATTACGTAAAAAAGTTCTCTCTCGACAAGTTCTATTACCCCGATATACACGATGGATTGCCAAACGTTTCCAACTGAAATTTATTATATACCTGAACTATCTAAATGTGCAAAAATTGACTTTCGTCAGTTGCGTCGTTCTTTCGCCAAAACTTATAGCCGCGATACACGTCTCGCCTACAATGTACGTAATAAGATCGGCTGATTGAGATGACCAGAAAGTCGAGTTCGTCGATAGAATTCTCTCCTTTGCGAAGATTTGCTTCGCCGATTGCACGTTACAAGTTGCTACGTGTATGACGTTAACGATTGGTAAACAAAAGGTTGTCTTCGGACTTGATAGTTAGCACCGAATAGTTTCAGTGGCTTAAAATAGCAGTACGTGAAATATATTAAAACGTCGATTAGCTGCAGTAAAAGGGAGATAAAACGTTTCTGGCAACAGGATTTTCGGGTCACCGATGTGGAAGGGCCAAACACGGGGAATTGGATCATAAATAGCTTATTCGGAGAATTTATTCTACGAAAAGAAAGATAATTTTTGCGTATATCTAAAGAATCAGATACAGATGGCTAGCTACGCTCCATCTTTCTAAATGGGTTCAGAAAATATAGCAGTATGGGATATAAAAGCCCGTATCTGATCCACGATGAACGTACAAAGATACTGACAGACGACGACACTGTTGCTCGCCGCTTCCAAGAGCAAAGACTTCGCCTTATGTCTCGCCGTTATGAAAAAAAAAAAAGAAAAAAAAACGGGGCAAAAATTATACTCACTTTCCATGATTTTTAAACAAAATTATCTTTCTATGTCTTTTTTTTTTCTTGTGGGTTAAATACAGATGAAAGCGTTCCATCAAGGTAGCAACATTGATCGAGCCTTGACACGGGTTCTTTTTTTAATACCATCGAAACCTTGCGTATTACCAACGCAACGCCTTGATACGATGGATCTTGTCTTTGGATACGTCTTTGTCATACGATGGATACACAAATAAAACGCTCGGGTCTATAAAAGAGCCAATGGACCCATAAATATTTACCGTGCGTCGTATTTTTCTTTTCCATCGCTCGCTTCTCTCCCCCGATACTGTTTTAACGAGACTACTCGCTACAGGAGGTCACCTGTTTATTTATCGATGGCAATTAAGGCGCGCGCAAGATAGATCTCGTACGTGTCAACCGTGTTGGATATTTTCTTCGATAACGGCGATGATAAATCTAATAAATATATCTAATAATAATAATAATAATAATAAATAGTTGGCGGATATTTATGCAAATGTATATTTTCGCGGAACCTTACGTTTCCTCGTAAACGCGGTAGAAAATACATTTTGTTCCACGACTATCACCGCTAAACTCTACCGAACTAACTCTACTAAATTTGGATTCCGATCGACCGATGAATTGGATCCGCTGTAGGTACTTCCTAAAATTAGATCGTGAGATTTGTTTTAATCTTACAAATAGATCGAAATCGTAGCAAACCGAAACGTTTTCTTCTTTTTGCACGATCGGTATTTCAGTTTATATAACACGAAGTATTATAAGACGATAGATCCATTTTGCGCCTCGTTCATGATGCTAGATACGTCATATAGAGGAGATATATAAACGATATCGTTGGAAATAAAAATCAATGGATATAGCGAACAAAGATTCGCGAGCGTCGGCCATTTCTGAAAACGATCCGATCACGATCGGCTGTTGTCCACTAGATGACATTCGTTTTCTATAGAATTTCTCGCGAGCGCAAAAGGATAGCGGAGCCGATAAAATTTCTCGCCAATGGTATTGAATTATAACTTACTTGGCGCGGAGGATACCGTGATCACGAAGGCGGTTCCTTCTGGGCGAGGCTCCTCCATTGCACTTGGGTAGAGCTGAACCTTGCGAATACTCCTAATGTGGGTATGTCGAGCGCACAATTTTTGGTAGTCGGGACCTGCGTTCGCGCTGTCCCGGATTCACGAAATCGAAATGTAAAAGTTTTCTCTTTCTATTTTTTATTTAACGAGAGAAAAATATTTCTCGACCGCGACGATCGTTTTTGTTTGCGTTTAGCAGTTGAAACGTATACCGATCTTCGATACATGATACCACGAATATTTTCTCCTCGTTGCAAACTTTTCCGTCGTGTAAAACGTGTGAAAATATTCCTCTCAGCTTTGATATTTCTACTATTTCGAGTTTGTCGGATGAAATAGCGAAATAGTCTTACTCTTTCGACAGAAAGATATATCTGTCTCGAGTTCCTGATACATTTTCAAGAAAGAATAATAGACGTGTCTTCGACTCGTGCGAATTCGGTGAAAAATGTATACACACGGGAAACAATAAAATTCACGTACGCGCCTCTACCTCGTCGATAGACAGAGTTGTTCGTTGCTGAAACAGTGGTTTCTTGTTAGAGGATGTATGCTGATAAACGCGGCAAGCGCGACGAACGATAAGAATTAAGAATATAACTATGTTCTTTTTTATTTCTAAAGTTCTATTTTTCCTTCTTTCGCTTTATTCTTAAACTTTTATCTTTGTATCGGTCGAGAGACAAAGATATCTCATAAACGGAACGTCTTGGCGTAAAAATTTAACAATGTCCTAATTTCTTATTCTCTGAAAATTATTTCGTTCGCGTGCCTCGGTTTATGAAAGCGAAACATACCGATTATTCTCTTGCGTGAACACTTTATCCTTCTATCGAAACTTGCAAATTTTACGTAATGGAAGCTCGTACCGGTCGCCAGATGTGACCCTGACGAATCTTAAGATACTGTCAAATGGCAAGAAGATACCGAGTTTCGTCGCAGAATTCTATTTTGGTAAAATTTAAAAGCTTAAAAGACGATGGTAGTGAAATATCATTACCGTGTTCTTTCCCTTTCGTATTGTAAAGTTATTTCAATTTGAAACACCGCTATCTTCGAAAAAAGGAACAATTCGTTACTTTATTTATGCTTAGACTAGAACGTGTCTCGCGTATCTTGCGGTTTCGCGTTTACGTGCCTATGTAACGTTTACTGATATTACCGAGAAATTGTTGGAAATACAGAACCATAAGCAAGCTACGAAAACACGAATAATAAATAATAAGTCCTAGATTATTATTTATTCCGTGACGTCTCAAACAATGTCAAGTCATCGCTATTTACATAGTTTATCGTTTAAATTTCGCGATCGAACGTTTTACGATTTTAAAACGATTGGGTAGCATTATTTATTATACAACTTGGTACGCGTCCCCACTGTAGTCTGTTTATAAGATGCTACTTTATGTATTAAGCTTAGAAAGAATATTATTTTTAGTTTGTTCTAGACAATTTTCTCTGGAAGGCAGTAAAGTTCTGTAGATTCTGGTGACACAAAGAATATAACGCGCGAAAGCATTTTTTACATCCCACGGAATTTTCTTCGATACCGTGACAATAGAGAGCGTTAAGTTACCCTTGACATATCTTTCCCTCGATTTTCTTAGTATCTCAAAAGGTAATGCCTACTTAATGATAAAAAGGTGTGCTTCTTATTAAAGTGCTTTCCAATAGCACTCTTTGTATGTGCTTCGTTATAATAAAAAAAATTGTTATTTTAATTATCAAAACATTTCATAGTTTTTAATGTATGGTAAGTGTAATATATCATATCAGTATAATATACATATATAAGGTTTCGAAACGATGTGAATAATGTTCCGTTGAGAGGTAAATTTTACGACCGTTTACAGACATTCGACAGAATTTAGAATACGATTTAATGAAATTATTGGAAGAGGACTTTTGCATTTATCCTTGATCTTTATCACGCAATCCCAACACTGACGATGAAATAAAGGCATGGCGAACAGGCTGCAATTCCTTTCATTGAAATATGTACCTTTTTTTGTGTCGAAAGCAATTTCATTCTTCGATTTCCACGGTATGTATTTTTCATCACGGTTCTTGGAATTTTATCTTTTCGCTCGTTTTTTAAGCTCTATAATTTCCTGCGAATGTCACGCTATCTGTCGTGCAGGATTTTTACGCTCTGTTGTAAATGCAGAAATACTTGTATGAAAATAATTTCAATGGAATATACAAGGTGGTTGGCAACTAGTGGTACAAGCGGAAAGGGGTTGATTCTACGCGAAAAAAGAAGTCGAAAATATAGAATACAAATTTTTCGTTCGAGGCTTTGTTTTCGAGAAAATCCACTTTGAATTTTCGCTCGGAACGCGTGCACTTTATCGCGTCTCGTTATAATTGATCTCACTGTAGATCGTTGTCTCGATGGAAAAATTAAAAAAAAAAAATTGTTATTCTATATTTTCGACTTGTTTTTTCGCGTAGAATCACCCCCTTTTCGCTTACCACCAGTTACCAATCACCCTGTATATACTACAAAAACTATTATAATATAAATTTGCTTATCCGTCGTCATTCTTCAATTATTCAAACTATTTGATTTTTGCTGTTCATCGCAAGCAACCGACAATTTCTAATTAAAATCGTTAAACAATTATTTTGATAATATTTATACGATGGATCATATAAATTCATGGAATGAGTGCTACTTTGTATGCCAAATATATGATCTTTTAACGGAATTTTATTCGGATATAAATTCACGGTAGAGATATGTATTAAAGATTTATGAAATAAAAAACAATTCCAAAGTAATTTCAACATTTTACTCGTCAGACGTTTCAACAAATAACGCTGAAATAACTTCGAACGAAACGTTTCTATCGAATCACCTTTCGCGTTATTCGTCTCTTCCTCCTCCCTTTGCGACTGTTGGAGGATGCTACGGTGACTGTTTCCCATTGCTTGCTGGAAAAAATACAACGATGCCTTTGGAAGAGCCGTGAAGGACGTGGCTGGTCGTCTCGCGTGCCACTTATTTCCCTTTCCTGGCGTGAAGCACTTTTCCCTTGAGAATCGTGGCTTATGATCGGGGAAACGAGTCTACCGCAACAATCGGACCAACGTAAGCAGACGAAACGATCCAGACTTTTGTTAACGAACGACGTTTTGTTACTCATTCGTTTTGGTCTTATCTCAATTATTTGTCCTATGAGATTCCTCAGAACGCGAGGATGAAGCAGCCACAAAACGAACGTATCGATGTAGGTAGATTTATAGGAAGTAAAGAATACTAATACATAGTTAAATATAAAGGTTATTCGATATTTCTCTAATATTACATGAAATAAGGCGATCAAGTGGCCTATAATTCATGAAATTTACGCGTTTTACCACATTTATTACTATTGTACAAGAGAATTTATTCATTTTGGTAACTTGTAATTTAATTTTTCAAGTTTTGTTAACATTTTTTTGCTATATAAAATAATTTACAAAAGAAAAAGAACCGTTACGCTTATTGCTTCGTTTATCAAACTGAACTTCCAATCTTGTTTCATGATTAAGCGAAGTTGACTATAGGCGCCGTAATGTAGGCAACCGATAGCTACAAAGCAACGGCATGCAAACACGTTTGACAATAGTTAGGCGTAATAACATGTCGCAAACAATATGTACATATATTCGAGGCTAATATATCCTATTATTTAGATGCACATTATATGTGCAATCCATTATAAAAAGATATGCATTCTTTTACCATTCAGATTGATTATTATCTATATGGATTTAATACGGATTCATTGATACTGTAGAAATTTAGAATACGTAAGTAGATTCTAGATAATGGTTCCGGTATTATAAATATTAATTGAAGTAGAGTGCATAAACATTATTAAAATATTAGGATTCCCTAAGTTTTGCTAACGCAATATAATAGTGATTCCCAAATTGATAAATATTTGGCTGAAGCATAGTGTCATCTTTTCAATATCGCATTCTATAGTTTATTCAACCGGATAAAAATGATAAAGAATGATGCATTAGAAAAAAATTATTATTAGATTATGCATTACAGTAAACAAAATTAAATGGTAAATAAACAAGTAAATTTAAAGTCCTTTTCACCATAGTTGTTTGTTGCACTATTAATATTATACAGCCTATGTGTTAAGGAAAACGGTTTCAAATAACCAGAAAAAGTATCTTGTATAAGACAAATTGTATCATATCTTCTTTTTTATTAACGATTATAGTATAGAGGAACAAACCAATTTATGGACTGACCTAATATATTTTAGAAATTATTGTGCAAACTTCGATTCTTCCATTGACTTCAGTTAGGAATAAATTGATATTTCCTTCAATGCTCGTTGTAGCAACATTGTCCCTGGCTTGTATATAAATTACAAATTCTCATTTGTTCACTATCATAATTATGAAAATTATGATACCTCGTTCGAGCCTTTCGCTAATAACTGTTGCAGTGTACCAACGTTAAATAGACATTGTTCTAAGATGAAAACTATCTTGCGCCCATTGACAATTGGAATTACATCAAAATCATGATTTCTTAGACAGTGCATTAAAGATGCATACCACATATCCCGCGGTGATTCAGTAGTACTAGGTTCGGCAGTAGCGCATGAACAACCGCTAGATGTTGTGGATCTTGTAGTGCTATTTGCTGGTCCTTCAGTACTACTTGAAGTAGATTCTTCGGTAGTGCTACTGGATGGTCCTTCTGTGCTACTTGAGCTGGATTCTTGGGTAGTGGCAATAGCTGGTCCTTTCGTGCTGCTAGGACTCGATTCTGGGGTAGTGCTAATAGCTGGTCCTTCTGTGGTGTCTAAGGATGATTCCTTTGTACTAGTTGTACTTGGACCTTCTGTGTTGCTTGAGCTGGATTCTTGGGTACTGCTACTTGCTGGTCCTTCTGTGGTGACTGAGGATGATTCCTTTGTACTAGTAGTACTTGGAGCTTCTGTGCTGCTTGAGCTGGATTCTTGAGTAGTTCTACTTGCAGGTCCTTCTGTGCTGCTTACGGTAAATTCTTGACTCGTGCTACCGGCAGGCCCCTCTGTGGCGCTAGAACTGGAGTCTGGGATGGTGCTAATAGCTGGTCCTTCTGTGGTGTCTGAGGATGATCCCTTTGTGCTAGTGGTACTTGGAGCTTCCGTGCTGCCTGAGCTGGATTCTTGGGTAGTGCTACTCGCTGGCCCTCCTGTGCTGCTTGCGGCAGATTCTTGGGTAGTGGCAACAGTTGGTCCTTCTGTGGTGCTAGGTCTCGATTCTGGGGTAGTGCTAACAGCAGGTTGTTCTGTGCTGCTGGAGGATGATTCCTTTGTACTAGTTGTACTTGAACCTTCTGTGTTGCTTGAGCTGGATTCTTGGGTAGTGCTACTTGCTGGTCCTTCTGTCGTATCTGAGGATGATTCCTTTGTACTAGTAGTATTTGGAGCTTCCGTGCTGCTTGAGCTGGATTCTTCAGTAGTTCTACTTGCTGGTCCTTCTGTGCTGCTTGAGCTGGATTCTTGAGTACTGGTAAGAACTGGTCCTTCTGTGGTGCTGGAACTCGATTGTGGGATAGTGCTAATAGCAGGTTGTTCTGTGCTGCTGGAGGATGATTCCTTTGTACTCGCAGTGCTTGGGCCTTCTGTGCTGCTTGAGTTAGATTCTTGGGTACTGGTAAGAACTGGTCCTTCTGTGGTGCTAGAACTCGATTGTGGGATAGTGCTAATAGCAGGTTGTTCTGTGCTGCTGGAGGATGATTCCTTTGTACTCGCAGTGCTTGGGCCTTCTGTGCTGCTTGAGTTAGATTCTTGGGTACTGGTAAGAACTGGTCCTTCTGTGGCGCTAGAACTGGAGTCTGGGGTAGTGCTAATAGCTGGTCCTTCTGTGGTGTCTAAGGATGATTCCTTTGTACTAGTTGTACTTGGACCTTCTGTGTTGCTTGAGCTGGATTCTTGGGTAGTGCTACTTGCTGGTCCTTCTGTCGTGTCTGGGGATGATTCCTTTGTACTATTAGTACTTGGAGCTTCTGTGCTGCTTGAGCTGGATTCTTGGGTAGTACTACTCGTTGGTCCTCCTGTGCTGCTTGAGCTAGATTCTTGGGTAGTGGCAACAGTTGGTCCTTCTGTTATGCTAGGTCTCGATTCTGGGGTAGTGCTAATAGCAGGTTGTTCTGTGCTGCTGGAGGATGATTCCTTTGTACTAGTTGTACTTGGACCTTCTGTGTTGCTCGAGCTGGATTCTTGGGTAGTGCTACTTGCTGGTCCTTCTGTGGCGACTGAGGATGATTCCTTTGTACTAGTAGTACTTGGACCTTCTGTGCCGCTTGAGCTGGATTCTTTGGTAGTTCTACTTGCAGGCCCTTCTGTGCTGCTTGAGCTGGATTCTT